GTAGTAAAGCTGTAAAGGATGCCACTTCCAGTGGCTTTGTTTATTAGCATGCATATGTATTAAAGCTGTATATAAAACCCTGCTGCAATTGCAGCAGATTAAGATTGACAGATTGAATCCAACCTTATAAACATCTCTGCACACCTTACCAAATCCCAATCAAGAAAGCACTGCGTGCTAGTGTTTTTATATCACCTTACCAGATCTCAATCAAGAGAGCACTGCGTACTAGTGTTCTTATATGGTATCTAGAGCTTTTTTTGTCTAAACGACAAAATATCCTAACCTGTTATTCTGTCCATCATCGCTTCCATGGCTGGAAACAATGTCACTGCTATCAACCCTAACCCCCAAACCACCATCTTTCAACCTTTTTCCATTATCGTCAATATCAAACTTGATAGAACCAACTACCCACTGTGGTTGGCTCAAATTCTCCCTATTTTAAAAAGCCGGGACTTGATGGGGTATGTTGATGGCACCTTGGTGTGTCCCCCAAAACATGTTGCTGGTTTGACAACCGTGAATCCTGCGTACACAACGTGGGTGCAACAGGATCAAATGATCCTTAGCTGGATTAATGGATCTCTGAATGCGTCTGTCTTGTCTGTGGTGGCAAGCAAAAGAACTGCTCGAGCTACTTGGGAAGCTCTGGAGCAAAGGTATGCATCCACGTCTCAGAATCGTATTTTGTTTCTACGGAATGAATTGTTGCAGACCAAAAAAGGTGATCTCTCTGTGGCGGATTACCTTGATCGCATAAATGTGATTGCTGACAATCTTGCTCTTGCTGGGCAACCTGTGAGTGATGATGATCTGGTCCAGATTGTGTTGAATAATCTTGGACCAGCGTATGAGATGACTGTGAGCGCAGCACAAGCTCGTGACAACCCTATCACTTATCCTGCCCTTGAATCCTTGTTGCTGACAACAGAAAGGAGAATGGTGGAACACAATGTTCCGTTGGTTGAAGGAGCCACTGTTAATGCCTTCATGGCTTCTCGAGGACGTGGGGGTGGTCGTTCCCGTGGTGGTGGACGCGGGAACTACTCACATCGTGGTGGTGCTCAACGAGGTCCCAATCCTCGCCATTACAATGCTTCACAGAATAATCAAGGTACTGGCGAAAGGTTTGTTTCTTGTGGTGATAGAATTGTGTGTCAAATATGTGGTAAACCAGGTCATCCTGCGTTGGATTGCTACCAGCGCATAAACACTGCCTTTGAAGGACGAATTCCGGCCAAACGACTCTCGGCCATGACTTCTTCACCAATTACTCTTAACAAACAGCAGAATGGTTCTTGGCTCCTAGACACAGGAGCCAATGCACACATTACTCCTGACATTCAGAATCTCGCCAATCCAAAAGAGTATCACGGGAATGAAGGAGTAGGAGGTGTAGGTAATCACACAGGCATCTCAATTGCACATTATGGTTCCAGTAAACTTCAAACTAAATCTTGCTCATTTGTTTTACGTGACATTCTTCATTGCCCAACTGCCTCCACTAATATCCTTTCTGCTCAGCAGTTTACCCTAGATAATGATTGTTACTTACTTATTTTTCCCCATGTTTTCCTTGTAAAGGACCTCAAGACACGGAAGACGCTTTTCCGAGGGAGATGTGAGAATGGGTTGTACCCATTTCCAAATGGCAGTGGTTGTCGTAAGAATTCTGTTACTACATGTGTGGGAGTTCGAGTGTCGGTTCAAAAGTGGCATGCACGTCTTGGCCATCCTGCAAAACCAATAATCAAGTTTTTAATTTCAAATAAATTGGTACCAATTCATGGTACCTCTGATGTACGCTTTTGTGAGTCATGTCCTCTAGGTAAAAGTACTAAATTACCTTTCCAATCGTCAGAGTCTAGGTCTCATTTTCCTTTGCAACTTATTCATTCAGATGTGTGGTGTTCTCCAATTCCTTCTAACGAAGGTTTTCGTTATTATTTGTTGTTTGTGGATGATTATTCGCGATATTCATGGATTTTTCCCATGAAACAAAAATCTGAAGTTTTTGCGATATTTGTGAAGTTTAAAGCCAAAGTTGAAAATATGTTTAACCAATCCATAAAAACTCTTCAATGTGATGAAGGTGGTGAATATAAGAATCATTCTTTTCAAAGGTTTCTTGATATTCATGGTATTTCTCAACGTTTTTCTTGCCCTAAACATCCTGAACAAAATGGTTTAGCTGAACGAAAACATCGACATATTGTCGAAACTGCCATGGTTATGCTTGCTCAGTCTTTCATGTCAACTTCGTTTTGGTTTGATGCATGCTCAACTGCCACATATCTAATAAATAGATTACCTACTCGTGTATTATTTGATACATCTCCGTTTGAGAAATTATTTCAAAGAAAACCCAATTATGAGTTTTTGAAGGTGTTTGGTTGCCGTTGCTTTCCATGGCTAACACCATACACGCAAAACAAGTTACAACCAAAATCAAAGTCCTGTGTTTTTCTTGGATATTCTTTGAACCATCAAGGATACAGATGCTTAGACATGACCACAAGACGAGTTTATTTGTCTCGCCATGTTCTATTCGACGAGGACTCATTCCCTTTTAAGGGACTCACATCTCCTTCTGGCAGTGTCGACAAACAAGGTAACAATTTTTTCCCTCATATCTTAACTAACTTTCCATTACCCACTACTCCACCATTCATGGTTGAACCTGTATCCCAGCTCAACCCACCTTTAGACCCTAACCTTTCTATAGGACCCTCACTATCATCAAATGAGCAAGTTTTAGTAACTGAACATCGTGTGCAACCCACTGTCCCTAGTGATATTGGACATTCTATGACTACACGGTCTAAATTAGGGGTTCTCAAACCAAATCCAAAATATGCTATGCATGTTGCACTTGATAACTCTCTTATTGAGCCTACCTGTTTCAGTCAGGCAGTCAAACATCAGGCGTGGAGAGAAGCTATGGCGCAGGAGTTTAATGCACTACAAAGAAATGGAACTTGGAGCTTAGTTCCGTACAATTCTACAATGAATGTGCTACCCAACAAATGGGTGTTTAAAATTAAATGTCACGCTGATGGCACTCTAGAGCGTCATAAAGCTCGATTAGTTGCCAATGCTTTTCATCAGAAAGCTGGTGTGGATTACACCGAAACTTTCAGCCCTGTGGTAAAGCATAGCACCATTCGACTCGTGTTGAGTCTTGCTGTGTCAAAGAAGTGGCCTGTACGCCAACTTGATGTGCAAAATGCGTTTTTGCATGGATATTTAAATGAACATGTTTACATGAGACAACCATCAGGCTTCATTGACAACCAGTTTCCTCATCATGTATGTAAGCTACATCGATCTCTTTATGGTCTCAAACAAGCGCCTAGGGCTTGGTTTCAACGGTTCTCTGATTTCTTGTTTCAACTAGGGTTTGAGGAATCTACGTGTGATTACAGCCTTTTTGTGTTTGACAGGCAGGGTGTATATATTATTCTGTTAATTTATGTCGATGACATTCTTATAACAGGGAACAATCCACGCCAGGTGGCTCATTTGATTCAGAAACTTGGTAGTTTGTTTCAAATGAAAGATTTGGGACCGCTCAGTTATTTCTTAGGCATTGAAGTAAAGTATAATAGTGATGCCATGCATCTGTGTCAGTCTAAATATGCACTGGATCTCCTCACTCGCACAAAATTCACAGATGCCAAACCTATTTCTACTCCTGTGTCGTCTGGTCAGAAACTGAGTGCTCATATTGGCGATCCTTACGGCAAACCAGATATGTATCGCAGTGTTGTGGGGGCGCTCCAGTACCTCACCATCACACGACCTGATCTGTCCTACGCTGTGAATCAAGTGTGCCAGTTTATGCATTCCCCGAAAAACACACACTGGATGGCAGTCAAGAGAATTCTTCGGTATCTAAAGGCTACATATAATCATGGCTTACTGGAACTGCTACGTTGATAGCTTATTCGGATGCAGATTACGCTGGCAACCCTGATACTCGTCATTCTACAGGTGGTTTCTGTGTTTATTTGGGTTCTAATCTTGTCTCCTGGAGTTCAAAGAAGCAGAAGACCGTTTCACGTTCGAGTGCAGAAGCGGAGTATCGCCAGTTAGCTTATACTGCTGCAGAATTATCATGGTTAAGGTCTCTCTACAAAGATCTTCATTTAACTTTGGTTCCACCAACCATTTGGTGTGACAACATCTCCTCAATTGCCCTGGCGTCCAATCCAGTCTTCCACTCACGCACTAAGCATCTGGAGGTCGACTACCATTATGTTCGTGAAAAGGTGGTTCGCAAACAGCTCGTAGTAAGTTATGTGTGTTCTCAAGACCAGCTTGCTGACATTTTTACTAAAGGCCTCTCTTCTTCACGATTTAAGTTTCTTGTCTCCAAGCTTCCAGTTGTTCCCCCACCTGTTCGCTTGCGGGGGGCTGTTAACCCAAGTCAATCTGCCGTTTCATCCAATCCATGATCTGATGCTCCACATGCAGTGCAGAATCCCAGTCACAAGCATGGGTGTATGTACCTGCCATCATCCACTGTGCTTTACAGATTGGAGGCATATTCCCACGTTAAGAATGTATGATTATGCATAGTGGACAGCAAGGATGCCACTTCCAGTGGCTTTGTTTATTAGCATGGGTATGTAGTAAAGCTGTAAAGGATGCCACTTCCAGTGGCTTTGTTTATTAGCATGCGTATGTGCTTTGTTTATTAGCATGCGTATGTGGTAAAGCTGTAAAGGATGCCACTTCCAGTGGCTTTGTTTATTAGCATGCGTATGTATTAAAGCTGTATATAAAACCCTGCTGCAATTGCAGCAGATTAAGATTGACAGATTGAATCCAACCTTATAAACATCTCTGCACACCTTACCAGATCCCAATCAAGAAAGCACTGCGTGCTAGTGTTTTTATATCACCTTACCAGATCTCAATCAAGAGAGCACTGCGTAGTAGTGTTCTTATAGATAGTACCACTACCAGTGTGGTCCTCTCATATCAAAGAATACTGAGTAAAACGTTGAAATTATTTTCAGAGATAATTATTTTGCTTCTAAGAAATCATTCTGTTTTTATTTCCAATAGAACTCACACACCTTGAACACATTCTTCATCTATCAACTATAACATGACTAAATTAAAACAACTGCCGCAATGCGCATGAACGATTCTAGCAACTCTCTTCCAATTCCCTCATCACATGATGGATGGCTACGAGGGTTCAAGCAACTCCAATTTTCTGTCCATGCATTGTTCAATACGGCGAATTCAAGGTGTTTGCCACATCAATGACAAAGCGGTACTTAACATCAGCCTTGGCAATTCTTTCAAAGGCGGTGTGGACGTAATCCATCGGAATAACTTCGACGTCCGCTGTGATATTATGCTTTGCTGCAAAATCTATCATCTCTTGTGTCTCCTTCATTCCCCCAATCGCACTACCAGCAATAAGCTTCCTCCCTATTAGAGATTTATAGAGTTTCAGTCAATCTTAAAACAAAAAATGTAGGCAGAACTAGCCGCTAGGGAAAAAAATGAACTTACCCAAGATTAACGGGAAAACTGGTAGTTCGGGAGGTTGGATTGGAGCACCCACCAGAATTAGTTTTCCATTGGTCTTCAACAACTCAGTCAATGGCAAGAGAGGGTGAGGGGCCGAAACTGTATCGATGATACCGTCCATTGTACCCATGGCAACCTAATTGCATGTAATCACATCTAAGTATGTAATAAACACAAACTTCAAATGAAAAGGTCACAACGAGAAAAAAAATTTTGCTCAACAGTTTGACGTGTTCCGTTGTTGGACTTTAATTAGATACTGTTAATCAAATTAGTGAATTCTTGTTACAAAGATCTCACTGGTGCAGGTCCACAACCGCCTTATTTGGACTTTGTCTTCAAATGTTCATTTAACCCAAAAAGGAAGTGAATTCTGCTGGTTTAATGGAAAATGTCAAATGTTATAAATATACCTGCAATTGCTCCTGGTCATGACTAATCAGAAATTCATCAACACCAAGTTGCTCCACTGCTTCCTTCTTCTTATTCGGGGAAGTACTGATTACAGTCACTTTTGCTCCTACAGCTTTTGCAAACTTCACTGCCATATGGCCAAGGCCACCAAGTCCAACAACACCCAAGTGCTTACCAGGCTCCATAAGTCCAAAGTATCTCATTGGACTGTACACTGTGATCCCAGCACACAGCATAGGTGCAGTACCTTGTAACAACAAGTTATCTGGGATTTGGACAGCAAAGTGTTCATCGACTACTAGTTTGTCTGAGTATCCACCAAATGTTCTTGATCCGTCTTCGTGGTGTTTGTTGTATGTCCACACCATTTTGGGGCAGTAATTTTCTAAGTCCTGCGTGCAGTTATTGCATGAGCGACATGAACCCACCATGCACCCAACTCCAGCAATGTCTCCTACTTTGAATTTTGTGACATTGCACCCAACCTTTGTCACTTCGCCTACAATCTCATGACTACAAAAAAAATTTATGATGTAAAAACTGACAACCAAAAAAGAATTACTCAAAATCAGCTTAATTATTAGAGATAATACATTGAATAATGGAAGTAGGTACGTACCCTGGGACGATGGGATAGATTGTCATTCCAACTTCGTCCTTAGCAAGGTGAAGGTCGGAGTGGCAAATGCCACAATAGAGTATCTTGATGCGGATATCATTATTACCAGTGGCTCTGCAAGTAAAAAAGAAACACACATAACACCAACTTGTTACTACTAATGAAACCTATATCTTACTTATACATCAATAGCTTAGAGTCGCTAAATTTGTCACCAAATGATATGTGACTACATATTCCATAAATGAACGGTAAAGATGAAAAACTACGATATTGTTTGTTGAATAAAATTTGATCATCAATGTAGCGCTGATACGAAGAAATAATTGAGTACCTCCTAGTGAAGTGGAACGGAGAGAGAACCCCCGAGGAATCTCTAGCGGCCCATCCATAGGCTTTCACTACTTCCTCTTCTGCAACTGATATTTCTTGAGACATTTTGCAAGATATTGTATATCTGTGTTTGATAGCTAATTTCAAAAGAGATCGAGTGATTGAAAATATTGAAATCGCAAAGAGTCTGTTCTGTTTTATTGCGTTGAGGGTTTGTTGTGCATTTTGTTGGGGGTTTACGTACATATATATACTATATGGTTGGGTAACATGCAAGAAATGTAAGAGTACGACCAAATACATCTTTCTGAAATTGTTAGAGTCATCAGTGACGGATAATTCACGTTCGTGGACATTTCTAAAATCTCCCTCGCCGATTCACCCTTCCCCAAGCCAAAGAATAAAGAACATTGACCAAATCAATTGGACAACTCTTTTTCTGGTTAGTATATGATATACAGCACGTTTTTTATGGTGAGAAAATTTACAATCTCATGGAGATATTTTCCAAAGTGGACATTTCTAAAATCTCCCTCGCCTATTCACCCTTCCCCAAGGCAAAAGAATAAAGAACATTGACCAAACCAATTGGATGACTCTTTTTCTGGTTAGTATATGATATATAGCACGTTTTAGATGGTGAGAAAAGTCACAATCTCATGGAGATATTTTTCCAAGTGCGTACATGTCATAATATAGGTTGAAAATTTTCTCCAATCACATAAAAAAGGGTGGAATTAAATTCGCATTGCCTTATTCAGATTTTACTAATTAAACTTCACTAAATTAATATAGGATTAAGTTCGGTTAACTACGCAATCATTATGAGTAATATCAAATTGGTCCACTTTTTAAAACATTCTAAATAATTACATAAAGTTCTGAAAAATGAACATCTATTAGATTCACTAGTGTTAAGTGATGTCATGAACAAATATGAACGTATGTTTTAACTCAAGTCATTTATGGAGTTTTCAGTCTCCAAATCAACCTATTTTAGCTAAGCAAATCTACGGTTTAATTTGGCTAAAAGGGGTCGATTTGGGTGATTAGAGCTCCAAAGATGATGATTAGTGAAAACTAACTTTAGTATTTATCCAACTCATCATTTAATGTTAGAAACATCATTACTTAATGTTAGTAAATGTGGGATCACGATTTTCCAAAGTTTGAGTAAGGTAGATTGGAATACGAATACTACTAAAGTCTAGTTGTTGAACCGTATATTTTCACTAAAAAAAATAATAAACAAAAATATAAGAGAAGTGGAGTAGACGTGGAGAAGTGTGGGGATTGTAAGTGCCTATTTTTAAGGGGTGAAAACAATATGGAAGTTGTCGTTTTATCACTAAATATATAAAAATAAATAAAAATAAAAATGGGATAAAATCACCGTAATCACGTTCTGAAACTTCAAGAAGTGGTTTGCTACAGGCCCATTGTCCCACGTCTTCAATTACAGCAACGTAGTGGCTCTTCCAAACCGCTCCACTTCGTGAAAATGGCAAGCAATTGCTCCACGTCTACTCTCTATAAAAGGAGGGGACGGCAAAAGCATACGGGGGGAGAGACATAAAAAAACGCTGCAGAAATTGAGAGACAACAGGGAAGAACAGACGGCAGAAATCTTCAGAAAGTTAAAGAGAGATCAAAGAAATAAAGTGCTGCGGAAATTCAAGGAGACAAAGGCAAACAGAGAGGAGGATACACGGCAAAGGAAAGCAACGAAGCATTCAAAGGTACAAATCCATCCTTCTAGATCTTTCTTTGTTTGGTTTCTCTCGGCTTTGCAGGAAAAAGAAAAAGAAGCAATTTGCTTCTTCAATGCTCTTCGCTCCCCACCTCTGCAGTCAATCCCATGAATTTCTTCGGGGTGGTCTAAACCACCCCGTGAAATTCCAATCAAATGCAAGAGCTCCGCTCCCCGCCGCTGCAGTCAATCCCATGAACTTCTTCGGGGTGGTCTAAACCACCCCGTGAAGTTCCAATCAAATCCAAGAGCTCCGCTCCCCGCCGCTGCCGTCAATCCCATGAATTTCTTCGGGGTGGTCTAAACTGTTGGGGTTTAAAAATGCTTCACTACTTTGGAGATGTTTATCTCACAAAGGAGAATGTAATGCAGCGGAATTTGATAGGCAAGAGAAAGAAAAAAAACACTCAAAGTGTTATACAAAAATTTTTATTCTCACACAATCTTAATACAAGAGGAAACACTCAAACACACTCACACTTCACTCTTTTTCTCACTTCTTGCTCTCTTTCTTGCTCTCACTTCTTCTTGCTACATAGCAACACACACACACACACCTAAATTTATAGGCATGCATTTTGCCGACTTACTCTGCCCACCGACTTGGGCATTGCAGCAATGACCACATGATTTGCTGCCTCTAGATCTTTCTTGAATGCACACCGACATTGGCTTGCATAATACTCCCACTGACTTCCATTGCTGGAATTTTCCAGCTACTAACACCGACATTGATTGCTAGAATTTTCTAGCATTTGCACAATAGGCTTTGGGTTGGATCACTTGTCATGGGCCGAAGACAAGATTACCATTCAACATCCCCCCTTAATCTTGTTTTGTGACGCCGATTGAGTTTCTTAGTCTGACAAAGTCTTCTTGTTTGAGGGGCTTGGTGAATATGTCTGCGATTTGGTCTTGAGACTTCACGTATTCCACTTGCACATCCTTTCTTGCAATGCACTCTCTTATGTAGTGATAACGGGTATCTATATGTTTGCTCCTGTTATGGAATACTGGATTCTTTGCTAGAGCTATTGCAGACTTGTTGTCGACATAGATCTTTGTTGGCTCTTCTTGTCGCATTCTTAATTCTTTCAGCAAGTTTCTCAGCCAGATTGCATGACAGACACATGAAGTAGCAGCTACATATTCAGCTTCGCAGGTAGAGAGAGTGACAATCGGTTGCTTCTTCGGCATCCATGTGAATGCAGTGTCTCCCATGAAGAATACAAATCCAGTAGTGCTTTTTCTATCGTCGGAATCTCCTGCCCAATCACTGTCGCTATATCCAACAAGTTTGTAGTTATCAGAACTTGAATAAAACAAGCCAAAGTTAACAGTACCTTTGAGGTATCGAAGAATTCTTTTGGCCGTTTTCAAATGTGTAGTTGTGGGATTCTCCATATGGAGACTGATTAATCCGACAGCATAGAGAATATCTGGTCTTGTGCAAGTCAAGTAGCGCAAGCTTCCAACTAGGCTTTTGAAAAATGTTGGATCTACGCTTTCTCCTTTGTCATACTTGGTTAGTTTGACTCCGCACTCCATTGGCGTGCTCACGGGCTTGCAGTCGTCCATTTTGAACTTTTTCAGTATCTCCTTTGTGTAGCTTTCTTGGGAAATGAAAATTCCTTCTTCGTTCTGCTTGACTTCAATGCCTAGGTAATATGCCATCAACCCGATGTCGGTCATCTCAAATTCTTTGGTCATCACTCTCTTGAACTCTTCAAACATGCTTGGATTACTCCCGGTGAAGATTAGATCATCCACATATAAGCACACAATCAAAATTTCTCCATCTTTGACTTTGACGTAGAGAGCATGTTCATGAGGGCACTTGATGAAATTGTTTTCTTAAAAGTACTTGTCGATGCGACTATTCCATGCTCGTGGCGCTTGTTTTAACCCATAGAGGGCTTTTTTCAGCTTCAGAACTTTGTCTTCATGCCCTTTGATCTCATAGCCTGACGGTTGCTGAATGTAGACTTCTTCTTCAAGGACTCCATTTAGGAAGGCAGACTTCACATCCATTTGTTGAATCTTCCAACTATTTTGAGCTGCCAAAGAAATTAGTAATCATATAGTTTCCAACCGAGCAACAGGTGCGAATACCTCATCATAGTCGATTCCGGCTCTTTGACTATAGCCTTTCGCCACTAGTCTTGCCTTGTATCTTTCGACCTCTCCATTGGTATTCTTCTTTGTCTTGTACACCCACTTGACTCCGATGACTTTTTGTCCTTTCGGAAGAATAGCGAGTTCCCATGTATCATTCTTCTGGATTGCTTCAATTTCTTCATCCATTGCTTTCCTCCACTTAGTATCTTGCACTGCTTCTTGGAAGTCGACTGGTTCACAATCAGCAAAGAGACAGAAAAGTGTAGGATTATCAAGTCTTTCAGCTACCTCATAAAGATCTCGTATACTTCTTGTGCGTGGTACTTCTCTTTCATTCAGACTCCCACTTGACAATGCTGATGCTGATGAATTACCATGATTAGTTGATGTTGGTGAAGCAGGTAGAGTAGTGGATTCTTGTTGAACCTCTCTTGCTTGCTCCATCATCCCTTGTTCATTCTCTTCTTCAAATTAAGGAAAGAAGTGAAGATCACCTGCATGCGGGCCAAAATCCCATTCTTCTTCTTCATCGAACATCATGTCTCGACTGATTACCGTCTTCCCATTGTTTGGATTATACAGCTTATAGCCTTTTGAATTGGTGTCATAGCCGATGAAGATGAACTTCTCACTTTTGTCGTCGAGTTTGGTTCTCCTCTCGTCTGGTACGTGTACATGGGCTATGCTTCCAAAAACTCTTAGCTGAGAAATACCTGGTTTTCTTCCACTCCATGCTTCTTGCGGAGTTTTTCCCCACACACTCCTTGTTGGAGACCGATTAGATAGGTAGACAGCACATGCTACAGCTTCTGCCCACAATTCCTTAGGCAATTTCTTGCTTTTGAGCATGCTTCGAGCCATGTCAAGGATGGTTCGATTTTTTCTTTCCGCCACTCCATTTTGTTGAGGGGATCTTGGAACTGTCAAAGGTCGACGAATTCCATTTGCTTCACAAAACTCTTGAAATTCCTTCGAAGTGAATTCTCCTCCTCAATCAGATCTCATGGCTTTGATCTTGCAACCACTCTCCTTTTCTACAGCGGCTTTGAACTTCTTGAATGCTCCAAAGACTTCTGATTTCTGCTTCAAGAAATACACCCAGGTTTTTCTTGAAAAATCATCAATGAAGAGAAGGAAATAATTATTTTTACCCAAAGAGCTTGGTTTTATTGGACCGCACACATCGGTGTGAATGAGCTCGAGTGGCTTCTGGGCTCTTGTGGTCGACTTCTTTGGAAAGCTTTTCCTGAACTGTTTCCCAAGTAAACATCCTTCACAAACTTGATCAGGGTGGCTGATGCACGGTAAGCCTCGCACCATCTCCTTCTTAGATAATAACTCCAATCCCCCAAAGTTAAGATGCCCAAAACGAAGATGCCAAAGCCAAGATATGTCTTTGTAACATATCTTGAGACACTTTGCAACATCGTTTTGAATGTTCATGGGAAACATCCTATTCTTTGACATTTTCGCCTTGGCAATTAATCTTCCTTTGTCATCTCTAAGAAAAAGGATATAATTTTTCGTATGAAAATCATAACCTTTTTCTAAGAGTTGACCCAAACTCAAAATGTTGCTTTTCATATTGGGCACGTAGTAGACATTTGAAATTAATTGGTGACCGCCATTTTCCAAGGGAATAAGGATGTTACCTTTTCCTTTTACGGGTATTTTGGATTCATCTCCAAAAGAAACGTTGCCACTCACTGATTCATTGAGCTCTACGAAGATGCTTCTTCTTCCGCACATGTGGTTGCTAGCGCCGGTGTCAAGGTACCATGTATAGTCTTGGTCTCCATCATTGTTCTTGCATGCTAGTAGCACAACACCATTCTCTTCTTTCTCTTCTTTCACATAATTGACCTTCTCATCAAGTCTGCTGTTTGGAGCTCTACATTCCCAAGCATAATGCCCAAACTTTTGACAATTATAGCATTGAACTTGAGATTTTTCATACCTTGAGTTTGAGCGTCCTCTTCCGCGACCTTTTGTTGAGCTTTCTCCTCTTTCGTAGTTGCTATGGTTGTTTAAGTTCCAACCACATCCACGCCCATGTCCACGTCCGCGACCTCGACCACGACTTCTTCCGTATCGGCTTCTCTCGTTGTCGAAGCTTTCTTCTTTCTTCTTTGGCTGAACATGCGTCTTAAGGAGCTGCTCATCATTCCCTTGCCTCTTCTTATGTTTCTCTTCATATGCTTGTAGCGAACCCATTAATTGCTCTATACTAATTTCTTCCAAGTTTTTAGTTTCTTCAATCGTCACGACAATGTGCTCGAACTTGGGGTCCAACGAGCGTGGTATCTTCTCCATAATTCTAACATCTTCTAACTTTTCTCCGTTTCTTTTTAATTGATTGGAAATGGCTAAGACTCTTGAGAAATAATCAGAGATTGATTCAGACCCTTTCATTTATAGAGATTCGAACTCACCTCTTAATACTTGAAGACGAACCTTTTTCACTTGTTCGGCTCCTTTGTAAGAGGTTTGAAGCTTCTCCCATGCTTGCTTGGCAGAGGTTGCACTCGAGACCTTCTCAAAGCCATTGTCATCTAATGCTTGGTAGATAAGGTAGAGAGCCTTCTTGTCTCTCTTTCTTGAATCTTTCAAACTCTCCTTCTGGGGTTGAGACAGAGTAGCTTCATCTTCTGGCTCAGTGTAGCCTTTCTCCACGACTTCCCAGACATCGTGTGCACCCAAAAGGGCCTTCATTTTGATACTCCAATTATCGAAGTTGTTGTTGTCGAGCACTGGAACTTGGAAGGCTGCCATAGCATTGCTAGCCATAGCTCTGGTACCACTTTGTTGGGATTTAAAAATGCTTCACTACTTTGGAGATGTTTATCTCACAAAGGAGAATGTAATGCAGTGGAATTTGATAGGCAAGAGAAAGAAAAAAAACACTCAAAGTGTTATACAAAAATTTTTATTCTCACACAATCTTAATTAATACAAGAGGAAACACTCAAACACACTCACACTTCACTCTTTTTCTCACTTCTTGCTCTCTTTCTTGCTCTCACTTCTTCTTGCTACATAGCAACACACACACACACACCTAAATTTATAGGCATGCATTTTGCCGACTTACTCTGCCCACCGACTTGGGCATTGCAGCAATGACCACATGATTTGCTGCCTCTAGATCTTTCTTGAATGCACACCGACATTGGCTTGCATAATACTCCCACTGACTTCCATTGCTGGAATTTTCCAGCTACTAACACCGACATTGATTGCTAGAATTTTCTAGCATTTGCACAATAGGCTTTGGGTTGGATCACTTGTCATGGGCCGAAGACAAGATTACCATTCAACGTAAACCACCCCGTGAAGTTCCAACCAAGTCTAAATGATCACTGCAACTGCAGCCGCCGATCACCACCATTTGCAGCAGCAACAAATCTGAACCTACAGCGGATGAAAACAAAGGAAGCAACTGGTCCCCGTTGTCCGTGCTCACATATGCAGCAGCCCCTCAACTAACGCTCTCCAAAATCAGATCATCAAGGTCTCTACCGGTGATTGTAGCAGTTCGGCATGGGAGAACAAAAAAAAGGTCCTTGCCTATTTAAGAAATTCCGAAGATGGTGAACAAGAAAAAAGATGAAGCAAGTGATAAACCTACAACGGAAGACTAAAGGAAGCATCCCCATCGTCGTCGTCTCGGAGTCCAGAAGAAACTGAAGTTAAGGTCGGCGTTAAAAAAAAAAAAAAGAAAGCTGCGCTCACGCATAAAGTGCATATAAAAAATAATGCAGGTTTTGGCCCAAGTCTCCAGCGGAAAAGAAGATCGCTTGAGTCATTGACGGAGAAAAACGGTGCATAAAAGAAACGCACAATATCTTCTCAGAGCACTGGAGAAACGAAGAGGAATAAAAATTCCTTCTTATCCTCTGCAAAGGCACAAATCTCCGGCTAAGTCTGCATGTGACATGCAAAAGTCCAAGTCTCTGCACAAAAGCTATGCTGCTGTCGAAAGAATGCAGAGATCAAGAAAGTAATTTTAAATATGACTCGTCATATTTATTGTCATAAACTAAAAGACTGTGCCTCTGTTCCGCAGAGAAGAAGACCATTGGTTACTGAAGTAGGACAAAGTGCATCCGTGGTTCGAGATTCGACAGAAAAGAAAATTGCTTGCAGAAATTACCTATTGATCATGGTTATCCTCAAAAGCCCTTGGTGTTCTTCCTTGCGACAGAAATCCGAAGAAAGCACAACCAAAGAAGAATGGGCGCTGGTTGTCGCTGACCAAGTTTCATTCGAAATCCTGTTTAAATTAGGAATTGGAAGAAAAACAGATCTCCAGCAAGCAAAAAAGTTTTCGTGACTTTAGTCGAAGACTGGTTTTATCCCTGCAAGGACAAATCCATGCGGGAAGTAGTGGCCTCAAAAGAAAGTGCATTTTTTCATATAGCACGTGGCACCTCAAAGATGAACAAACTATTATCAAAAAGTTAAACTCAAAGTTGGAGACAAAGGACAAAAAGAAAAAGAGTTTAAAATTCAGAAGGAAGAGAAGAAGAGTCCCAGCCAAAAAAAAAAAAAACACAAAAGAAACTTTTGTCACATCAAAAAGTAAAATTTAAAAATGTTGATGTGGTCTTCTTTCCTTGACAACAGGAAAGTCACTCACGTGGCAATCTAAAGAAAGCTATAACTCCCCATCCAAATTTATATTGGCTCTGTAAATGACTGACCCTATGAATTTGAATTTGGACCAAGTATTGAATGGCGAGGGGACGGTGCGTATTAAAACGAAAAGAAATATGAAGACAATGTCAACATTGTGAGGGCAATGTCGGCATCAAATTGGTGGATAGGCATCACTTCAAATACCGTGATGCAAACCATCTCAAAGCACAAAACTCGACGGATTTGTCATCTAGTCGACCTATTCCACATCAAAATTTCAAATGGCATGAAGCCGCAGTAAGTTTCAAATGGCACGAAGCCGCATCATGTTTCAAATGGCACCAAGCCGCGAAAAGTCTCAAATAGCATAAAGCCGAAAAAAAACGCTCTAATGGCTTAAAGTCCTCACCCGCATGAATTAAAACTACACAAGGCATTAAATGCTCCAATGACTTAAAGTCCTCGCCTACATGAGCTAAAACTACACAAGGCATTAAACGCTCCATGCGCTAAAACTGCACAAGGCATTAAATGCTCCAATAACTTAAAGTCCTCGCCTGCACAAGCTAAAACTGCACAAGGCATTTAAAGGCTCCAATGGCTTAAAGTCCTCGCGCCGCATGAGGCATCAAATGCTCCAATGGCTCAAAGTCCTCGCCTGCACGAGCTAAAACTACACAAGGCATCAAATCCAAACAAGTACCAAATACCAAGGAACTACGAGTGACTTGATCCCTTAACGAGGGTACGTAGGCAATCTAGGGCTCCACCTAGATGCAGTCACAGAATCAAATAAACACCCAAATCCCCAAGTTACGATTTATTCATATTAGAATCAAAGGGTATTCCTTTCCCAAAAGAAGGGTTGTAATTAATAGGCGTGTAGCCTAGAATGGGTCGAACTCAATTTAATAAAACCCTCTTCAAAAATGAATGGGGGTGAAATTGTGTTGAGTGAATTATTGGTTTACATATTGTGTATAATTTTTGCTCAACACCAGTCATGGACTCAATAGCTTCAGTTGCGGAGCTGCACAGATGAAGCAGTGATGCCACTATTATCCTGTTCTGGATTAATGCGCGAAATCCGATGACTTCGTTAAGATTGACCATACTTGTTCGGCAAGACATGGAAGCCTGATTCAGTAAGGAACCAGTTAGGTTTCTTATATTCTTGCAATCTTTACAATCTAAGGATTAGCGGTCATCGTAAGTAATTGTACTCCAAAGAGCATCTCTACTTCTAGACACCCTCTAGGATTCTCCTGGTTTAATACGGATTCCATATCCTAAAAGATCTCTATCTCGACTGGTATAAATACACCCATCCAGGGGTTCATCCCTAGTAGCAAGTTTGTGCATCTCCTTAACACACAACGGTGCACAAATTTGGTTCCAACAATTGGTGCTTTCATTAAGAGTGAACTCATATACTTTGGAGGCAAAGATGTCCCCACCATGGATCAAATCTAGAATACATTGATGAAGATCAACGCTTTAGCCAACAAACTTCGAAAGGCCTCACGCATGAAAGAACAGTCGAAGCTTATTGACCTTGAAAGGCGTGGAAAGGCCCTTAAAGACATCATTTATAGTTTTGAAGAGCCACCAAATAAGGCAACACCCATTTAAACCCCAATAAGAACTGTGATCTGAAAACTTGTGTGAAGTGTCGTCACCCCACTCCCAGAGCGCTCACAAAAGATCCAAGAAATCCCATGGATTTTTTGGAAGCCAAAGTCTAACGGAAAAACCAGTTCTCCATGCCAACTGCATATATGGAGAATAAAAGTATCGAGGTAACACTAGAAGGGAAATAATGGCGGCTTACAAGAAGCTTAGGATAATAGTTTCCATCATCAAACCCCTTTTAATCAACTCAACATCTTGGTGTTCTTTGGTGGGGATTTGGAGGATGTACAAACCCCCCACGATGATGCATTGGTCATTAAGATACGGATCTTTGACGCTGTAGTTAGTCATGTTTTGGCGGACAATGGCTCTAAAGTCAACATTTTATTCAAAGACGCATTTGAGAGTATAAGAATTCTACAACATTAGTAAGGGTAAAACCACCTTACATACCTTCAAATGTACTCATTTCTGATCGCTCGAATCAGTGAAGCTTGTGGTTTAAGTGGAACCATACAACTACTTAGTGGCCTTCCACGTCATGGATTGCATGACCTCATAATGCCATACTAGGTTGGAACTAGCTCCACCATATGAGGGCAGTCCCTCATCCTACCACTAATACTCTGTTACCCTGTCCTTGGAGGAGTAAATGAAATTAAAGAGGATAAGGTAATAGCCCAATGATGTGCAGTGGAAAACATGAACATGATTCGCAAAGAATAACGCAGTTGTACTGCTCCAATAAACTCGTTGGGTGCAATTCCACTAAAAAAACTTCCCACATGTAAATTACCAAACTTCCCTTTAACAATTTAAATTTAACTAAGACTCTTGTACCTCCGAATTTGATTATGCTTCCCTCTACTCACTCTTAAGTGTGAAAACTAATTTAATGAAATAGGAAAACATGAGAAACTAAAATTAAACTCAGCAGTCACTAAGGGTATTCTAGTCAATTTGCAATTCTTTGTGATGAATTACATTATTTTAAGGTACAAGTTACAACAGGCTACCCCTTTAAGAAAATTTCATCCTTGAAATTTCTACAACAAACTAGTAGAAAAGATATGGAGACTGAGCTCTTATGCTTTCCTCTGTCTCCCAAGTGGGTTATTCAACTTTGTGGTTTCTCCACAGAACTTTCACCAACAGAATCACCTTATTTTGAAGAACGTTTTCTTTTTGATCCAGTATAGTAACTAGTTCATCTTCATAAGTCAAATCCTTCTACAATTCCACTTGTGGTGATAACAATATATGCCACTTGTCTGGCACATAACTTTGACGCATTGAGACATGAAACACAATATTACCACGCCATAATTTAGGAGGCAAATCAAAATTATACGCAGCAGCTTTAACTCTTTTGGTGATATGGCAAACACTGATGTATCGATAACTGAGCCCACTTTCCGAACCTCACCACACTTTTCCATGGTGATAATTTCAAGAATACATGACTACCCACATTATAATCTTTATTCCTTGCATGACCATCAATAATAATGTTCTATCTATCTTATGCAATTTTGAAGTTCCAGCTGATCATCTTCATCTTTTCTTAACACCATCCACAAGTTTCAGACCCAAAATAGTTTGTTCTCTAACTTCATTTTAACACAAAGAAGTTTTGCAAGACTTACCATACAATGCCTCCAAAGGTGACATACCAAGAAACTGTTGTTATAAGCAAATTCCATTAAAGGCAGATGACGTCCCAACTTTCATCAAACTGCATTACAGTAACTCTCAACATATCCTTCAACGTTTAAATAGTTCTCTCGGACTATCTATCGGCTTGATGATGAAAACAGTACTGTAAAGTAAATGAATACCTATAACTTCCTAAAAGGCATTCCAAAACTTGGAAGTGAATCGGCCATCCCAATCAGAAATAATTGTGACACTTGCACTCCAAAAAGCTTAGCCAATTTGACAATATAATACATTTCACCAACAACGAGGAAGTGTGCTGACTTAGTGAGATGATGAACAATGACCCATATGTCATTATGACTATCTCTTGTATGAAGGAGTTTGCATAGAAAATATATTATAATCTTTTCCTATATCGGTAATGGCGCCACAACTTTATTACAAATACTATTGCTGTCAGTTGCAAATCACCAGTATGATAGTTTGCCCATGACGTTTCAATTGTTGAAAAACATCCCATGTTGCATTAAAACACAACCTAATCCTGGGTGTGAAGAATCCGTATACACTTCATATTCCCCACTCTCGTTAGGAAGAGCAATTACTGGAGCACGAGTGAGGTAATACTTCAATTCTTGGAAACTACGTTCATAGTCTTCATTCAGCTCAAAAGTTACCTTCTTTTTATTTAACTTAGTAATAATTGCCAATCCTAAGAAACTCTTAACTTCAGTCACATTCTTAGGTTGTTCCTAGTTAACAATTGCAGAAGTCCTATGTGGATCAAAGATTCCTTTAACCGAAATGATATGACCTAAGAAACCAATGTTATTAAAGCAAAACTGACATTTACTAAACTTAGCATAGAGCTTTCTTCTCTTTAACCTTTTTAGCACAAGTCTCAAGTGCCTAACATGTTCTTGCTTACTTTTAGAATAGACGAGTATGTCATCGATAAAGACTATCACGAGTTTATCTATATAAGGTTGAAAACCCTATTCATTAAATCCATGAAAGTTACAAGGGCATTAGTCAACTAAAAGGCATGACAAGAAACTCATAGTGTCTATACCATGTTCTGAAGACAATTTTTGGAACATCCTTAGCATGAATCTCTATGTGATGATATCCTGACCTTAAATCAATTTTGAAGAAAACTTGAGCTCTCTTCAATTGATCAAATAAATCATCAATCCTAAGACGAGGAGATCAATTCTTGATCGTTAACTTATTCAACCAATGATAGTCAATGCACAGTCGTATACTACCATCCTTCTTCCTCACAAAAAAAAATTGGAGCTTCCCAAAGAGAAGTACTTAGTTGTATAAAACCCTTATCTATTAACTTTTGTAATTGGACTTTCAATTCTCTCAACTCAGTTGTTGCCACTTGGTAAGGTGTGAGAGATATAAGATATGTTCTTGGTATGAGATCAATGATGGATTCAATCTTGTGTTTTGGTGGAAATCCATGCAAATCTTTAGGGAACACATCAGGATACTCATTCATAATGGGACATCTTCAACATGAGTAGTACTCTTATCCTTAACAATAACAGAGCAAGATATCCTACACAACCCTTAGAAATGAATCTTTTAGCCCGAATAGATGAGATTAGGCTATAAGGTAGACTTTTTGGCTCACTTTGAAATTCCATTTTTGGTCTCCCAGGTGGACAAAAAGTCACAATCTTCCCATAACAATCAATACAGGCAT